ATGTGACCTATTCGAATAGGTGATATTACCTATTAAGAAGCTGAGTAGGTGATATCACTTATTCGAATAGGTGATACTGGTATCACCAATTGAATAGGTGATATCACTTATTCGATTAGGTGATATCACCTATTTGAATAGGTGATATCACTTTATCGCAGTAAATACCGAAACGGCGCCTCAGAGAGGAAACTGAAAATAATGGAATGTTTGCGACGGACAAAACAAATAGCAATAAATTAAATGAACTTAATACAACATTGAGTACTTCGAGACCGGTCCTTTGGCTGAGACCGTATAAACCGAAGTCCCGTGTCGTAGGAGATGCTTGCACGAAAAAGATCCCTCACTGCTCAATGGCCCTAAGTGCCGAGTATAGGTCAAAATTTGCAGCTCTCCACCGGCAATTGGTAGCGTCTCCATATGAGTGAAAAATTCTAGAAAGGGGCGTTAATCAAAGAACAAACACACAAACACATTAAGTAAACTCGTTATAAATGACCCCCCCCCCCCCAACCGATCAAGCATCCACATAGGAACACTAACTTTATCGGATTTTTTTTTTTTTAGATTTTGGAATCTCTCTCTCTCTCTCTCTCTCTCTCTCTCTCTCTTTCTGTATTACAAACTCAAAGCACGATTAGAAAGGATATACACTTCTTTCATGAGTCTATAGTTATTATTTATATGTAAGGTATCTTCAACCCCATGTGACGTCATAGGTTTTGAGCTTTGTGGATAATAAGAATGATTCTCATTAAAAATTGCTTTCATTTGGTGTGATAGAAATATTGTAAAAATATCGTTCAATAATATACATAATAATAATAATAATAATAATAATAATAATAATGTATTTCTTTTATAGTATGTCAATAGTAAAGAAAAAAGTTTGGCAAGGGCAATTGCTTCTACTTATGTTTTTTTTTTCATACATGTTCATAGTTATACTTCTAATTAAAAATTTTCCTGATACTAGTATGAAGAATTTAAATATATTTACAAAATAATAGTTAAAATTTAATATAATGATTATTTCGTAAATTCAAGCTGTTTTTAAGCATCTTTATTAAGGTTGTATACCGAATGGTGCCATGTTTACAATTTGACATATGCTTATGTTTTAATTTATGTCTGACATCTTTAGAAAAAATGTAACGTCTATATTTTATAATATCAAACAAAAGTTGAAATAAAGTGTTTTTTTTCTACTATGAACAATAGGACTTCAGTTTTGGATCTTCAACCCGTTTTTAAGCATCTTTATTAAGGTTGTTTACCGAAATGTTCCATATTTACATTTTGACATATATGCTTATATTTTAATTTATGCCTGACATCTTTAAAAAAAAAGTAGCCTATGTTTTTTATAATATCAAAAAAAAGTTAAAAATAAAGTTTTTTCTACTTTGACAAAAGGTTTTGGATTTTCCTTTATTAGATATAGATATTATTTCTACATATTTATGGAGGATGAATTCTAAAATTAGAAGAACATTTTGCTTTAAATTATATATATTGATATCTTCTATATATTGGATATCATCTTCCACTTTTTTTAACCCCCCCCCCTTTTTTTTGCAAATTGCTGGATTCGTCTAAAAAATGGTGAACAACCTATCAACCCGAACTACTTATCACGCACATGTACATGTATTCAGTTTATTTCTAGTTGACAGATTATTTAATTTTTATGAAATACAATGTAATATTATTCTGAAATGACCATAAATGAACTCGAAATTTAAAAAATGGATAACATTACAATTATTGAAATAAGAATCAAAATATTAAACAAAGTGACAATCACTTTTCTCAATGATAACTAAAACATGTAAGTCATATTGTAATGCAGTGAGGAATTTTAATTTCAATGGAGATGGGTTCATAGTAGTTCATTCATTGATTCATTGTCTAGTCTTCCCTTTAGGTGTTTAGTGATGTCTTTAGAGTTAAAGAAAAAAGTTTACAGAACTGCAAAAATATATGTAACATATCCACCACAATAAAAATATTAAAAGTTGTAATATCAAGGAAGCTATGAGACTAGTGTTAAAATGTTCTTGTGTATATTAATTAAAATGTCTCCAAGCCCGATGTTTATTCCCTTAGTATTACATGTCGTAGCTAAACACAGTTTCGTATAAAATCCAGGGGTTTTCCCAGAGAGAAGAATAATAGGAAGGGATTTGCCTGCTATTTATAGGAGGTCTACATAAAATAGGCCTAAAAACTGGAGGGCTATATCTCGGAAACTAGAGAAGGTACCATCACCATTTTTTCATAGAAATGGTAACCGACCACTAGTAGCCTACCCTCAAAATTTCAGACCCGGGGACAGGGGACTTCGATGTCTCCGAACCCCATGTTTATTCATATAGTATTATATAGTAGGCCTAAAAACTGGAGGGCTATATCTCGGAAACTAGAGATGGTACCATCACCATTTTTTCATAGAGGTGGTAACTGACCACTAGTAGCCTACCCTCAAAATTTCAGACCCGGGGACAGGGGACTTCGATGTCCCCGAACCCCATGTTTATTCATATAGTATTATATAGTAGGCCTAAAAACTGGAGGGCTATATCTCGGAAACTAGAGAAGGTATCATCACCATTTTTTCATAGAAATGGTAACCGACCACTAGTAGCCTACCCTCAAAATTTCAGACCCGGGGACAGGGGACTTCGATGTCTCCGAACCCCATGTTTATTCATATAGTATTATATAGTAGGCCTAAAAACTGGAGGGCTATATCTCGGAAACTAGAGATGGTACCATCACCATTTTTTCATAGAGGTGGTAACTGACCACTAGTAGCCTACCCTCAAAATTTCAGACCCGGGGACAGGGGACTTCGATGTCCCCGAACCCCATGTTTATTCATATAGTATTATATAGTAGGCCTAAAAACTGGAGGGCTATATCTCGGAAACTAGAGAAGGTACCATCACCATTTTTTCATAGAAATGGTAACCGACCACTAGTAGCCTACCCTCAAAATTTCAGACCCGGGGACAGGGGACTTCGATGTCCCCGAACCCCATGTTTATTCATATAGTATTATATAGTAGGCCTAAAAACTGGAGGGCTATATCTCGGAAACTAGAGATGGTACCATCACCATTTTTTCACAGAGGTGGTAACTGACCACTAGTAGCCTACCCTCAAAATTTCAGACCCGGGGACAGGGGATTTCGATGTCCCCGAACCCCATGTTTATTCATATAGTATTATATAGTAGGCCTAAAAACTGGAGGGCTATATCTCGGAAACTAGAGAAGGTACCATCACCATTTTTTCATAGAAATGGTAACCGACCACTAGTAGCCTACCCTCAAAATTTCAGATCCGGGGACAGGGGACTTCGATGTCCCCGAACCCCATGTTTATTCATATAGTATTATATAGTAGGCCTAAAAACTGGAGGGCTATATCTCGGAAACTAGAGATGGTACCATCACCATTTTTTCATAGAGGTGGTAATTGACCACTAGTAGCCTACCCTCAAAATTTCAGACCCGGGGACAGGGGACTTCGATGTCCCCGAACCCCATGTTTATTCATATAGTATTATATAGTAGGCCTAAAAACTGGAGGGCTATATCTCGGAAACTAGAGAAGGTACCATCACCATTTTTTCATAGAAATGGTAACCGACCACTAGTAGCCTACCCTCAAAATTTCAGACCCGGGGACAGGGGACTTCGATGTCTTCGAACCCCATGTTTATTCATATAGTATTATATAGTAGGCCTAAAAACTGGAGGGCTATATCTCGGAAACTAGAGAAGGTACCATCACCATTTTTTCATAGAAATGGTAACCGACCACTAGTAGCCTACCCTCAAAATTTCAGACCCGGGGACAGGGGACTTCGATGTCTCCGAACCCCATGTTTATTCATATAGTATTATATAGTAGGCCTAAAAACTGGAGGGCTATATCTCGGAAACTAGAGAAGGTACCATCACCATTTTTTCATAGAAATGGTAACCGACCACTAGTAGCCTACCCTCAAAATTTCAGACCCGGGGACAGGGGACTTCGATGTCCCCGAACCCCATGTTTATTCATATAGTATTATATAGTAGGACTAAAAACTGGAGGGCTATATCTCGGAAACTAGAGATGGTACCATCACCATTTTTTCACAGAAATGGTAACTGACCACTAGTAGCCTACCCTCAAAATTTCAGACCCGGGGACAGGGGACTTCGATGTCTCCGAACCCCATGTTTATTCATATAGTATTATATAGTAGGCCTAAAAACTGGAGGGCTATATCTCGGAAACTAGAGAAGGTACCATCACCATTTTTTCATAGAAATGGTAACCGACCACTAGTAGCCTACCCTCAAAATTTCAGACCCGGGGACAGGGGACTTCGATGTCCCCGAACCCCATGTTTATTCATATAGTATTATATAGTAGGACTAAAAACTGGAGGGCTATATCTCGGAAACTAGAGATGGTACCATCACCATTTTTTCACAGAAATGGTAACTGACCACTAGTAGCCTACCCTCAAAATTTCAGACCCCATGACTTATGTTTAAATTTTGAATTGCGAACTGGGATCTGGAATGCAGTTCACTTTTGAATTGCGAACTGCGTTCCAAAATATGATTGCCCGTTGTATGTGTTCTGTGATATTTATACAGAACTACATCATTTTAATATGATACTTAGGGAAGGATAGACGGCAGAGGATACATGTATATGATGTCATTGACACAGAAATCTTAACCCCCCCCCCCCCATCTCTTCGAATTTTCATTTTCTTTCACTTTATAGTCCCTATACCACAGAGAAATGAAAGGATCGACCATCAAGACCAGACAATCAGAAAGGTCCTGATATCGTATTTGGTTACAAATAATTCTCTGAAATGCAAAAAATATTTTAGGAAAAATTAGATAAAAGAAACATGTTGAGGGTTACATTATAGGAACATGAAATTGTTTCATACCCTAATATTAATTGTAAAGCATAAATTTTCTTAACATTAATCTAAAAATGAGTTATATATGATATCAACAGATTAATGTCAATTTATTATTACGTATTCATACTTAAATGCTTCTTTTTTAATTTTAGTAAAAGTGATATTGAAAATTTAAATTTCAGAAATTTTTCATTAAGGGATTCAGCTAGAGGAAAGTTATACCTGTTCCTTTGAACATTATATTGTATGTATATGTAACACTTCGTATCAAATACAATGTACATTTACACTATTTTGCATCTAAGGTTTTCAGATCTGTTCCTGAAAATATTTCAAGTTAGAAGAATATTCCCCAGGGTGCACATAAACAATAAATAAACACAATACCTAAATAGTTACCTATGATTTTTTTCCCATTTTACAGTAGATTGCTGAGGATGGAAGCAATCAAAGCATTCGCCCCTTCTTTTAACAATTTGTGGAATACAGTGGAGAGACTAAATGAGGAAGAGATTCCAGACGCCGTCCTGTATGGGACAATCCGGGGACTGATAGAGAATTTCCGTGGAAAGGTGTTCTGATTCATTGATTTTTTAAAAATTAAACGTTCTATCAATTGTTATTTACTCTATACTATTATGTATAACAAAAGATGGAATCTTGTGGGCAAAACAATAAGAAGATTCATACATGTATACATACATACAAAAATTTTGAGACCGCTTTACATGACCCACATGTGAACCTCATCATGCTGGAAAATTACTTAATTTGTAAAATTTTTACTAAATGTTCTATTTCTCTCATTTATGTCATAACTTCCTATATGCAACATCTTTGATTGTTAGAAATATGAGATATTTCGCAATATATTGAAATTTTAAATTTGCCAAAGATCGATGATAAAATGACAAAAGTATTCTACTTATAATGTTTCTAAATTTGTGGACTTCTCGGTACGATTGATTAAGAAATAATTCTGAAAATATGCATGGTAATTTTGACATAGACTTGGCGAAATTATGTTCTAGAAACATTCGGTACATGTTACTAGAGATTGTTCTATCTGACGTATCCGTATAAGTATCCGTATCCGTATACGTATCGAGGTGAGAGAGGCATCTCGATCCCGATGTCTAAACTATTTACTATAATTTCCATCGTTATTTGTTTGGTCCTAAAGCAGCCCCATTCATTAAAGAATAGCATATGGTATTTTTTCTAATAAAAATGTATTAAGCTGCTGTAAAAGTTTGTTATTTTGCTGGAAAATTTAAAAAAAAAATAGATAATGAAATTCAATAAATTTGTATTTGTTTTCATTATATTGTTTAAAACTTTAATTGCAATTTTGTTTAAGAACATTTATCGGGATCCCCCTCTCTCCTTCTTAACATCAGGACATTTTATTGATTGATTCTGTGATCTACATTAGATGACATAAACTTTAACCCCCTCACTCACACACTAAATGCAAAAGACGTTGATATCCACACAATCAATAAAACCGTGTAGCAGTTTTCTAAAGAGAATTTGCTTCCAGACCCTTGCCAGTATATGCTTAAAAATGCCAGTCATCCCCCCCTCCCCCCCCCCCCCGGGAACACACAAACTTTCATAGCGTCTGTTGACTTTTTTCATTCTTTTTTTTTTCAATGAAATATTTGACAAATACCTGTATGTCTCCCCTTCCCCTCCCCAGTTGAAATTGCTACTTTCGGGCCTATTCTCATACGCCTTGATTTTGTTTTATATTTTGTCCTGTCAGCAGTAATAACTTGAAAAGACTTCATGGCGACTAAAATAGGTAATGAAATGAAAATTCAATTGTTAAATTTGATTTTTCTTTTTAGTTCTCTTGTTGTCGTACATGTGTATTATAATTCATGGTTTGATATAGAACTAAAATAGGGTATTCATTATCTTAACTCTCTTTTTATAGAAAAAGAAAAGAACATTAGACTAAAAAATGCCAAAACAACAGATTTATCTATTTCTTCTATGCTACCTTGTCCATCCAGCTGATTTTTATTTATTTATATTTATTTATATATTTTTATTTTTATTTATTTATGCATTTTGGCCCAGATTGGGACAAGTGTGAGTCAATTCAACACGCAGTTCATAGAATTGAATAGAAGAGGCTGCTTCAACGTAGCAGAGAAATAAAAAAAACACAGAATAAAGGATAAAATTTATACAAAACATTTAATAGATAAAATATCAGCATTTTTTCAGAGTTTTGATCCCGATTGTACACAAAGAATTACAGTCATCTTAATTTCAATAAATAAATCATTTAAGTAAACTTTAGTTAACATTAGGTATATATGTTGACTTTCTTAACAAGCATTCTGTGAGTATTGCATTAGCAATACTAGTCCCCTACCGGCAAGTGTAATCTGGTTCCCATTAAAAATTGAAAATGCCATAATTCCGACAAAAATCAATGAAGCGGAACGAAAAGCAAACTTCATCTATAACTAATCAAGGTAAAGTCACATACCAAAAATCAGCTCAATACTAGTATCTGCAAGCGTTTAGAAGAAAATTGCGGAAAACGCTTAAAAATTAAAGAGGTCGTAATTCCGTCACAAATCAATGAAGCGGAACGAAATGCAAACTTGATCTTAACTCATAAAGATACACTCACATACCAAAAATCAGCTCAATATCTGCAAGCGTTTAGGAAAAAAGTGTGGAAAACCAAGTGGGACAGACTGACAGACAGAAGGACAGACAGACGCAGAGGAAACCTATAGTCCCCTCTGGTTTCACCGGTAGGGGACTAATAACAACTTATCATTTGTTCGCCATGATAACCAATGATTTACAATACATGAAAATTGCTTGCATTGCTTTGGGTAACAATAAAGGACTTCTTAGTCAGGAAGGGCAATTTGCTTCAGGCGAGCGTTATGGCCTTTAGACCTCTTGTTCTTTAGGTTGAGGTGAATGAGGCAGTAACTTTCAAGAGAGGTAACAGATCAAATTCATTACTGATCGTCAACCGGTATGGCCAAGAAGTTGGATATCTTCAAACAGAGTTGGCAAAAATTTTATGCAAATTACTGGAGGAAAGGAAGATTCAGTTTAAAGGGTGTGTATATCTATTAAAGACATATCTATATTTCCAGTACTTTTACGTTTAAAGTTTAACATTCAAAAACAGGTACTAGTATTTTTTCAAAGCCTTACTATGAAATGTAATGATTGCAAACTGTAGTCGAGCTAAAAATTCCAATTAAGCCCAGCTAGATTAAACACGTATACAGAGGTAGGATGAGGTGCCATGGAAGAGTGAGCATTCCCTTGTCGATTAGCTGGTCACATCTACCGTGATCCCTTTATCTTGATTGGGTAAACAGAGTAATCTGCGACAATTCAGTAGGGAAAATTTAAGTGATATTATTCATAATCCAAGAGGAAAAAGTACCCCTTCTCTATATGTAAATAGACAGGACTTTTTCCACCGGACAGAAATACCGTTCTTTGTTCACAAGTACATCTCTTAGTGTAAATGATTATTATATATTTAGAATTAAGATTTTTGCTTTGCCAGTGTACAGTAAAAGTATATGATTGAGGGAGTCAGCAATATTTCAGTTCAAGAGCCTGCAATTAAGTCTGTTTCCTGTAGGGTGTCGTGTAAATACATTGTATATCTGCAGAGCATATGCTGTTCATAATACAATGTTCACGTCTGGAACAAAATATATTACTTATATCTGCATTCTGTGAAGCCAGATAAAATCCTGATATCAGTGTAATCAGTAATTCTTTTCCATGAAGACAAGAAGCCGTGTCCTTATTCAGATCAGCATACCTGATTGTAATGAGTTCTTTCAGGATTTTGTAGAGTTGAGAAGGAAAACAATATCAGTCAGAATAAACAAACAAATTTATTAACACGAAATAACAAAAATAGAGAACAAATAAATTATATGTCGCTCACTCACTCTCACATAGAGGCTCACACACCAAAAATGAAATGAATATGAACTGTTAACTCAGTATGACAAATTCTGATACTTTACATAATTTCAATATTGACTGCTACAGTTCTGATTCGGTTAGTATCAAATATCAAATGAATAATTCACCAAATTTTATCCTTAACCAGGTCCAGTCCAAAGACTATTTCTACCTACGTAGCTATCAATAGCTACCTAGGTATTTAAAGCTACCCTAAGTCGCTATTTTTACGTACTTTTTGCTTTACTTACATTTTGTGGCCGAACGGCGCAACATGGTGAGTACCACATTTCTTGATGAAGTCACACTGATGACGAATACAACAAAATTTTGGCCAAAAAATGATTACTTTGTAAGTTAACAATTTTACATTAATTACTATGCAAAATTGTTAATTTACGACGTAATCACTTTCTGGTCAAAATTTGACGTATTCATCATCAGTGTGACTTTATCAAGAAATGTGGTACTCAACATGTCGCGCGGTTCGGCCGTTTGGCCACAAAATGTAAGTAAAGCAGAAAGTAGGTGAAAAATAGCTACTTTAGCTTTTAAATACCTAGGTAGCTATTAATAGCTACGTAGGTAGAAATAGTCTTCGGACTGTACCTGTTAACAGTTCAAAAATAATATTCCGAAAAAGCTCAAAATAAATTCAATTTATAATATTATATATTTCATTAAAAAAGTTTTATTTTCTTTAATAGACTGAAAGTTACTCAAAAGTTACTATATCACAATTGCTGTAACACGTGCTCCGGAAGTCACACCACTCGTGCATCCGCCATTAACACCAATCAAGGAATGTTCTAAGTCCGGCGCCGTTCTCTCCTCAACACGTGGTAGTTGATTTAATCGCAGCCCCGGGTCTATAGCCTCCCACTCCGGTTATTCTAACAATCATTTACAGCATGAACATACGACACCCTTGGCCCTCCATACAACACTCGTCGACTGACCCTCAGCATCTAACGCCTAACGGCTGTCAAATGGCCCTCAGCACATCCACTTATGTACATAATAGTCTCCCAGCACTTTAAGCACTGAAATAAATTTACGTTTACAAAAACCTTACCTAAATTACAACTGA